GTGTTGTGCCATCGGATGGCGTCCGCTGCGCTCATTCAGCGCCAGAACCTGGTGGCCCCGGCCCCGGAGCAGGAGATGAAGGTCTGCAGAGCTGAGATGCACCAGCCCGCAGAGCCAGGCCCAGCCCACAAAACTACGGCCTCGGTGGAAACAGAAAGCTTTCAGATGGAAGCAAGTCACTACGACCATCAAACACCGAGTGAGTAAGAGAGAGACGGGAAAGAGCAGGAGGTGGGAAGCATTTCCTGCTAGAGAGCCGCTTCTTGATAACTGATAACATTCACGGGACACCAGAAACTGTTTCCTAGGGGGCGGTGACACGCTTTTCTCCAGGGGTGTCAAGGATCATTGATGACAGTCGTGTGGGCGGAAATATTGTGCCACTCCCCTACAGAAAGCCAGGAAATGGACAAATGAGCCCCAGATGCTGTTGGCCTCTAGCTGTTCTCCTGGGGTACTGGGTTCCTCCTCTACAAACTGTTCAGAAAAGTTTTTTTGGTGATAATTGGGGGCTTCCGACTACGGGAATGAGGCCACGAGGGAAAACTCCCAATGTTAGAAGCAAAGGGAAGATGTGACGTGCCGGGCACGTCGGGCCATGACGTGTGTCTGAGGGGCGAGGCCAGGCTGGCCCGATGGGTCGAGGTCCAGGCACCGGCTTGTCCACCAGCCCAGACAGAAATCAAAAGGGAAGCCTGAAAGGACACAAGTCTTCCTAGCTCCTCATGGAGGACATTGGCACCCAATTCCCTGGAGTGACCCACCCAACTGGATGAGAGGGACCGTAACTGGGAGTGTTCTGTGTGTGGAGAGAAAGAGAGAGAAGTAAGAATTGGGAGAAGGCAGAGTGCTTTTATGACTAACACTTGACAACACCACACTCCCCCTGCCCCTACAGAAACACGGCGGCAGCGTGACTCTGCACCCAGCAAGACACCGGGCCGCAGCCCGGACCACAGGCACCCCCTGGCAAGTCACTGACCCTGCCAGCTTCCGAAAGGAGCAGGTCTGGGGTCTCTTAGCCAGGGGGCTCATCTCTGGGCCTGAGCGCCCATCCTGGTTCGTGCTGCCATGCACCCCCTGACCCGGCAAAGATGTCACCTCCCCCTCGGCTCCGAACCCCAGTTCTCCCACTTCTCCTCCAAGAGCCGGTATGACAGACCTGCACATTTTTGCCAGGGTGCATCTATTCAAGTGGTTCCCTCCAATAATCTCGTGTCTTGGCCCAGATAATTTATGAAAAGGGATTTTGTGAAGGTTTAAATGTAGTCTACGCCATATTCAATTTAATCCAATAAATATTTATTGGGTGCCCACCTGGAATTGTGGTAGGCACTGTGTGGAATATAAAAGAAATATATGGCAGAGTCTCCTGTCAAGGAGTTTGCAATATTCTTGGGAATAAAACTTGGATGCTGAAGTAATTATAGGAGGCGAGATGGTATAGAGCAAGGTCATAAAATTATGTAACCCAGACCAAAATATCAGGCACAGACAACATTATGTCTGGTTAGGGCTCGTGGGATGGAGCTTTGGGAAATAGCTCACAGAGGAGATGGAGCTTGAGTTGTCCTTGAGAGAGGTCTGGGGTCGGCTGGTGCTGCAGGAGAAAGCCGCCAAGCAGGGGAAGACGGGGCGTGAGGCCGGAGTGGGAGCAGCAGGAGCCTGACTTGCCCCAAGCAATGCCCCCACCAGGCTAAGAAAGGGGGCCGGGGCCCCCTGGTGGCAGGGGTTGTGTCAGGCTAGCACCGCTATGGTCTGAGTTCGATCCCCAGCTAAGGAGTGACCCACGTGTCGCGGCAGCCCTCTCCTGTCTCCCCGCTGATCCCCTCAGCAGTGGATTTAGTCCATCTGCCTGTTCTGCTCCCCACTCTGTCTCTGGGTAGTTCTATCCCCCCCCACACTTCTGGCCTGTACCCCAGTTCTTCTACACAAAAATAAAAACAAGGATATAGCAGAGTTTTGTAGGGAGAAGCCAGGGAGGGTGAATATAATGAATCCACAGGAAGCTGTGAAGGGCACAGAGAACTCGGAGGGCTCCGTACTCCTCTGTCCCTTCCTGGGCTTGGCTCTGTCGCTGTCCTCAGAGCATATTCACGGACACGGGCAGCACGTGCAAGAAGAGCCTGGGCGTGGGCTGCAGAGGGACAGCCGGGACTCAGCCCCCTAAATGGCCTTGGCAAAGTCACTGTGTTACAGGGCACCCCAGTGTGAATGGGGTTCACACTGTCTGTGGGGCCTCACCTGCGCTTAAAATTTAATTGTGCTGCAGGCACACACAAAAAGAGTCAACACTCGGTTTATTTACAAAAGGGGAAAGGAAAAGGAACAACCCAGGGAAAGAGAGCGGGATACAAGGTAATGAGAACCTCCTACCAGCTCTGCTGACTTGAACTCCAGCAGCACACTGATAGCCACCAGCCACGCGGTCCCGAGAGAGAGAGCACCAAGAAAATGGGCCCCTGTTTACCCCCCAAAGTCCCAGAATGCTTGGTTAGCTCCCCCTTGGGTCCTCGCAGTTCTCTCCCTGGTGCTGCTGGGAGTTGTAGTTTACTGGAGTAGGCGGTGGAGTCCAGAAATCTCTGCAGCGTTCCCTCAGGACATCCTCTCCCCCAACAACTGCACGGCCTGGTCTTCAGTTTCCACCAGGGTGGAGATGGGAGCAGCAGCACGTGTGTTGTGGTGGTGGAGACCCACAGGATCACGCATATGACCTGAGGGGACGAGACCTGGGCCCGTGTGTCTCGCGTTCAGACCTTTGCTAAAGGTCTCCTCTGTGCCCATGCCGGCTCAGCTCCAGGGAAACGAAGATCAAAGCACCCGGTGCTTATTCTCAAGACGTGAACAGCAGGAAACCACCGGGAGGAGCAGCGTAAAGTCCCACGGGCTGGAGTCCCACCTCTGACTAGTTGACAAATCTGGGAAAACAATTAGTCTGAGCCTCAGTTTTGTCATCTGCATTCCTGGCCTAATATTGTCTACTGAAAGCCTGACCTGAGAATTAATACAAATATGGGCAGAAGTGAGTGTGGCTGGAAGCACTCAAGAGCAGTACAGTACCTTTTTTTTTTAAGATTCATTTATTTGTGCATACAGAACTGGGGTCCAGGCCAGAGGTACAGGGGGGTGAGAGGATTCCCCAGAGACAGAGCGGGGAGCAAAGCAGGCCAACTGATGAAGCACACTGCTGAGGGGAGCCGCGGGCAGGTCAGGAGAGGTCTGCCGCGCCATGTGGGTCGCCTCTGGGTCGGGGACCGAACTCATGCTGAAGCGGATGCAGCCAGGATGCAGTGCTGAGTCCTAACACATTGTGGCACCAGGGAGGGCCCAGTACTTCTTCTAACTCAAGAAGTAACTGACTAGAGGGAACTTCCAGAGACTTTTTCACGGATGGCCAAGTCCCTGCACCGACGCTCAGACAGCAAATAGGACTTGCCGAGGTTGCACACAGGGGAGAGCAAGCGGGTCGTGGCAGGGGCTGGTGTCCTCCGGCCTGGGGCTCCAGCACTGTCAGAGCAGAGTTCAAGGCAGAGCCTGGAGGTGGGAGCAGTCTGCTGGAGAGCAGTTAGGGGGCCAGAAGCCCGGGAGCATGGCTCCAGGTTAGGACCCCACCCGAGACGGGAGGCTGGTGCAGGAATCCTGGACAGTGAAGGAGCAAGTTCAACTCCACGGCTTGGAAAGTTGTAGAGGGCAGGAAAGCATGAAGCCTCCTGAAAAAGATCCAGATGGAATGATGGTTGGAGATACTTAAGAGTTGATGCCAATAGATTAATTTTGCTTTTTGTATGTTTCTGGGGCATCTAGTGGCATGGGGTGGTGCCCTCAGCACAGGCGCTGAGACTTGCCCATGGTGGTCTCGATGCAGAAACTCAGGCATTCTGCCAGCTTGTCTTGAGTGATGAACAGCACAGGGTGACAGCTAAGTGGACGCTGTACACAAGCTTGTCATCTGTCACCCTCGGGCACTCAGCAGCCACCGCCACACACAGCGCCTTCTTCATCTGGAGCTCGGTCCTGGACTTGACTTCGTCAACTGTGGCCACCACGTTCTCCTTGCGGATCAGCAAAGAAGCGCATTTGCCAGCCGTGGTCAGCCCTGGCTCCGGAGCCACGGGATCCGATCAGGCACTCAGAGGCCAAGAAGCCATCACTCTTCTTGGCCAGCTTCTTCACCAGCTTCTTATCCTTGTTGAGTTTTTCCGGCGCCTCATGTGGGGTTATCCAGTGCCCTGCCGGCCCCCCAAGACACACACGGCGAACGAGGGGTGGGGCGAGGACTTAAGCATGACAGTACCTGAGACACATTTGTCCTTCTGAGGGCCACAGGTCTTCAAGCTGACCTGTTGTGCCATCTCCTGAAACCCCCAGCACTTGGCTGACCCAGGACCCTCCACACCGCCTCGTAGACACCTCGAGGGAGAATTTGCTGTTCTGAGTGCCTCCCACCACAGCAGCCAGGAAAGAGGCAGAACTTAGCTTTCATGGGACTTTAGGGGTGGGTGACGATGAGCAAACAAACTAGCTCGTCTCCTCTTCCGGCTGGACGAGGACGCAGCTCCGCGTGGGAGGAAAGTGCGCCTGAAGCTTGCATAATGGAATGGAGCAACGTCTCTGAAGCCTAAAAACAAAATGCTCTTTTCCAAAAAAGGGAGATAGGGGAGACAGGTGTGGAGTAAAGATGATCTAGCTCGTCCGGGACATGAATTGGGGTGCCCATGTAGAGATTCGGGCGCAGGGCTTGGATGGAGGGTGGAGACCCGAGCTGGCAGCAGCTGGAACGGGGCTGGTGGCATGTGTGGCTGGAGAGCACCCGAGGCCCAGGGACTGCACGGCAGGGCAGGACACCGCCCGGGGCAAGCAGAGGAGGCTCTCCCCAAGGTCTCCCCAAGGTCAAAGAAATCCCTTTTCTGGAAGAGCGCCCGTCTGCATGACGCAGATTTCATCTGCGTGCAAGAACAGAGAGGGGTGTGTGGGGAGCCCGGGGGCGCCGGGCTCGCAGGATGACACTGCACATGCTGTCTCTGGGAAAGCGCTTCATTTACAAAGCAGATTTGACAGCTCTTCGGCAGAACCTTCCCGCCCGGCCCCGGCACGACCCGGTGAGCCTCGGTGAGCCTCGATTACAGCCTTGCTGGTAGCTCTACCGCAGAGACCCCCTAAAAGGGGAGTGATGAATGAGGCCCTGTCAGGCTGCATCCCCTGGGTGGCCTTGAATCTCTGCCGCTATCTGTTACCCTGACAGTGACGAACGCGAGGCAGGCGGCTAACGACACCCCGATTCATTACCCAAAAGGAAGGGAGAGCAGAAATGAAGGGGAGGAGGCTGCCCTGGGCCGGCGGGTGGCCGCCGGGGTGCGGCGCACGACAGACCAGGCCCCCACGCTGGTCCCACACTGCCCGGCCTCTCACGGTGGCCTCCGCCCAGGCCTCGAGCACCGGGTGAGATGCGTAGCAACTGAGCGCTTCCAGCAGCCCACTCTCCATCTAGAAACCCGGGGCCCAAACACAGCGCACGTGAAGCCACCTGCACCCCCCGCCCAGCAAACGCCCCACCCCCCACCGTGGGAACAGCCCCACTCTGCGGGAAGCCGGGCAGGGCGGCCTCGTCTTGTGGCACTTTCCCGAGTGACCCGAGTGACGGCGCTGCCTGACGCACGGACACAGAAACGCACCTTGAGCAGCCTCAAGACGAGCTGCTTTCTCCACCCCTCTTAACCCCCACCGCTCGCCCCGACTCCCGAAAGGACATTTTCAAGCAGAGGGAAAATCTCCCTGGCCAGCAGCTGTGAGACACCGGGTCACTCCTTTCCTGGCCCTGTCCGGTTCCTTCTTTCCTGCTCTTTCCTACGGACGTTGTTAGTCTGAGCACAAATGTGGCACTTGACCCCCCAAAAGTTTGGACTCCCTGTAGTATTTCTCCACCCCTTTTCTCTGATGCTCTGCATCTTTATGCCTTCTGCAGTCTGGGCTCGTGGCACAGGACCATGCCTAGACGGACCCACAAACCCATCTTCAAACTCCGCTTCCCCGGCAACACAGTCAGGACTGGCGAGCCCTGTTCTAAGTGCTGGTGTGGGGGCAGCAGCCGTGGGGGGCAGAAGCCACAAGGCGCTGGCTCCTGGCAGCAAGGAAAGCAGCCTGTGCCCACGCCACGAGGCCCGCACCTCCGCCACCCCATGGCAGACACCTGGGTTGAGATGTGAAACCTTTTTTTTTAAAGGTGTATTTATTGATGCACAGAACTGGGATACAAGCCAGAGAGGACAACGGGGCCCACTAGAGACAGGGTGGGGGGCAGAACAGGCAGATCGATGAGGCACACTGCTGAGGGGAGCAGCGAATGGGTCGGGAAAGGTCTGCTGCACCCTGTGGGTCACCCCCGGGGCCGGGGATCGAACTCGCACCAAAGTGGCAGCTTGCAGTGCTGCACTTTAACCCCTGCGCCACAGGGAGGGCCGAGACTTGAGTCTTATCCTTGTCTTTTGCTAAAGATCAAATTGTCTTTCCTTAAAAAAAAAAAAAGTAGCAGCAGACATTACCACTGATTTTGAAAAGCACCCCAAGATTTTTTCCAAGATCGCTGTGAATGAAAGTGGCCAGAGCCTCAGATTACCTAGAAACGGCAGCACCCGCTGAGCACCCATGGGTGTTTAACTATCAGTCCAGGTGTCAGTCAGCCCCGTGGCCCTGGGGACCTTGGTGGTGGGGGTACAGAGATTACACCTGAAGGGGGAGGCCTGTCTTCCCAAATGTTAGCAGTGATGTAAACCACTGACTGACACCACAATGCAAAATGTAATAGTAATAAAATAAAGTCAAATAAATGAAATGCAGAATAAAAAATAGGATAAAAATAAGTAGAATAAAAAACTTTATTCAACAACGCTCCAGCACGGGGGACATCTCTGTCTCCGCTGTGGGGACGGCGCCCGCGGCCGTGGCTCCTGGCTTCCTCTAATGCAGAAGGCCAGAGATTCTGCTCAAGATACCGTTGCTGAGGAGACCCGAAGTCGGGCTTCAAGACAAGCAAAACCCAGAAGGAGACATGCACTGACTAGTTTTGTGGGGGACAGTGTGTTTGTTGATTAAACCACAGAGCACAGGTGGAATGTCCACGACTCAAAGAATCCAAAACTCATCACAAAGACAGGACACTAGTGCCAGGTCCCACAGCCATAAATGGGCCCTGCAGCCTTTCTGACCCCTCTCATCTCTAACAGGCAATCAGGAGTCAGGGGCGTGGCGCGTCCACCCAAGAGCCAAAGTAATATCTGGAGAGATGAGCCTGGCCTCAGGGCGGGAGGCGCCATCCTTCACCCCGCCGCCATCTTCTCTCGAGAAAGCAGATTCTGAGGAAGCTCCTGCGACCCCTTGGCGTGTGCCTCGGGAATTCAAAAGCCAGTCCTGGTGTTCCCTCGAGGCAGGACAAAGACACACGTCCCTTTTGCTACCATTTTTGTTCCCAGTCACAGATTATTGGGCTCCGGAGCTCACCAAATTTCCCACAGATTAGGAGGACGCGATTGTGCGGTGTTTAACCCAACTCTTCTATGCAAAATGCTTTCCGATTTCTCAGGACCAAATTCAGGCTCCCACATTCCCTGCGCAGGTGTTTATTTCCACCTGGCCGCGGAGTGGTTCCACTGCTCCACCTCCCGCGGGAGACAAAGAAATGGCTGCGTTTGTCAAGTGTCCGAGGGCTGGAAGACAAATGGGCTTGGAGGAGGGTCTGGGATCACCACGGCCAGGAAGGAATTCATCTTCTTAGTCTCTGATTCCAGTGGCCCACCAGAGGCATCATATTTTTAACTCTAAAAGACTTCTTGGAAGTTTCCAGGATTTCTCCAGAGACAGAGATCAATAGGCCAGAGTAATCAAAAAGAGAGCGGGCTTGGGGGTGCTTTACTCACCGGGCAAAGACTTTTTTATTTTAAGATTTATTTATGTATGCATACAGAACTGGGGGACAGGCCAGAGATGTGGAGGGTGAGAGGATTCACCAGAGACAGAGTGGGGAGCAGAACAGGCAGATCGACTAAGTCCACTGCTGAGGGGAGCAGCGGGCGGGTCAGGAGAGGTCTGCCGCGCCCTGTGGTCACCTCCGGGGCAGGGAGCGAACTCATGCGGAAGTGGCTTTAGATTCCCAGTGCTGTGCTGTACCCGCTGCGCCACCAGGGAGGGCCCCGGGCAAAGACTTTTAATGGAATGATTCTCACCCAGGGGCAAGTGTATTGTGGGCCTCCGACTGGGGCTGAAGAGAAGGGAAAGGGGGACATTTTCATTCCAGTCTCCAACCCTCCATGCAGGCGCGGAGGCTTCACTTGAGTGTCAGTGCTGGGCTGACGAACACCCTTCCCACAGCAGAGGGCGATGGTCAGAGTGACCCGGTCCTGGGGGCCAGGTGTGATTCTGCAGACCGCCTGGCGGCTGGAGGCTCCCCAGCTCCTCTGATTCTTGAATCCGCCCCCGGAGGTCAGCACCATGCTCACTCCCACCCGCAAAGCAGAGGTTCGCCTGAGCCAGCGTTAACCATCTGAAGTACTGAAAGCGAAGTCTACGCTTTAAAAACAGCGAAGAAGTCAAGGGTGGTGGGGCCCGAGTGACAAACCAACCTCCCGCGCCCAAGAGCATTTCCTGAGAGGCCACAGCCTTTCTCCCTCCCTCTAAAAGGCCCTCTCCGTCCCCTTGGGAGCACCAGTGTGTGGGGGACCCCCAGCCGCCCCGTCTTCTGCCTGACGGCCTCTTCCCCTGCTCACCTCCCTCTGCTGTCTCTGCCCATCCCTCTGTCTCACCCTCTGCTCCTCTCAGTACCCCCAGGTATCTTTCTTCTCTGGTTTGGCAACCACTGAAGCCTTGGGGTGCCTGGACTCAGCTTACCTGGCCGGGGCCACCGAGGTGGCCCGAAAAAGGGGACCCCAGGAAAATCTGAGCGGGAACAAAGCCTTTCTTTAACCGGACGTCAAAAGCACCTCCCTGAGCCGATTGTTAACGCCTAGCAAAGGGCGCGGATCTCAGCATCGTGGAAAAGTGCGAATACTGAGGCTGCCCAAAGAGCGGCACGCAGAGAGGGAAGGCGGCGGCCTGCGGTCGGGGCCTTTCAGCTGCCTTCCTGGAGGTGGTGACTGTCAGCGCCGCGGGGCGAGGACAAGCCAGGACTTTGTGGAATATTCTGAACGGCTGGTGCGTAATCCAGGCAGCCGGGGGGGGGCAGCCCCAGGATAAAAGGCTTAAAGAGAAGGACCGCAAGGACTGCTTTTGATCTTCCAAGGCAACTTGGAAAGAAAAAAAAGAATGAGACCAGTAAGATTTAGGTTAACCCGTTGGGAGTGCTCTGGAAATCTCTTTGGTGAAGGAAGGAGAAGGTTTTGAAGCCGCGTCTGTTGAAGCCTGAGTCAGCCTGGTGCCCGGCCGAGGACGGGCCTCCCAGTGTCCG